ACGTTAATACTTTGCTAAAAAATAAATTTCTGGATTTGGAGGTGGCTTCTCAAAGAGAAGCATTTGAACAGTATTGTGAGAAACCAGGAAAAATTCTAATAATTATGCACTGGAGACAAATTCCTTGTGTGTCCAATCACACTTGGCCAATAAAGAATATTCTATTCCATTCCATATTTTCTATTCTGTTCTGTTCTGTTCTGTTCTGTTCTGTTCTATTATTCTATTCTATTATATTCTATTCTAATTTTCTATTCTGTTTTCTATTCTATTCTATTCCTATTCCATTCTACTCTACTCTACCTCTTACTCTACTTTTTACCCTTACTCTTATTCTACTCTGTCAATATTTTTCAAGGTAAATAGCTGTACCTTATCTCTTGGCAGAGTTTAAAATAATCTTGTGGAAATCAAGAGTTAATTTCAGAACTCATATGACACCATGCCATAAATCTTAAGAACACAGTAAACTCTGCAAGGAAATACAGCTGGGAGTACAAAACCTCAAGGTGTTTCTTTTAAAAAGCATGTGCTAAAACCTACCAACTCTGAAAGACTCCTGGAAATTTCTTCTCTGCTACATGCAAAGGCTAATCAGGTAGCCGGAGTACATTTATCTCTCTGTTTTTTTATAGAAGACACGAGTACATTTGCAAAAGCAGGTGCTTATAGTAACCTAGAAAAAAGTTTCTTACAAACTTTTCTAAGAAAATGTACTTCATAGTTACTCAGTATCAGACACCATGTAAATTAATGATAGCAAGTTTTTCATTTCAAAGTATATCTATGTAAGTCCTCGACTTACAACCTTAATGGAGCTTGGCCATGAAGGTTGTAAGTTGTGATGGTAGCAAACTGGGTCGCCCATGTGACATGCCCGATTTTACAACCGTTTTTTTGTGGTTGTAAAGCAGACATGTCAAACTCGCGACGTCACGTGACATCGCGCAACGTATTGGAGCTTTTTCGCCATTGCCGGCCATGGGGTGGGCGTGGTTTCACGATGATGCGTCCGGCCCGCAGGCCGGCAGTTTGACACCCCTGTTGTAAAGTGAACACCCCAGCGGTTAACCAATGGTTGCTACGAATCAGTTTGACTGAAAACCAGAAGTGCTGGTTTTTAGCAAAATTGTCATGTAACAGACGGACATTCGCCAAGTGCTTGACATGAGGTCATGTGACCGCAAGGGGGAGGTGCCAATACTTTGGAACCAGGCTTTACGCCCACAGGGAAGTCCATCATAACTTCAAAAGGTTACTAAGTGACTAGTCGTAAGTCAAGAACTACCTACTCTTAATCCTTCCCACCCTCTCGCGCTCTGTTAAGCTCTGCCTGGAAAATAAGCAACTCCTATGGCAGTGGTGGCGAACCTATGGCACGGGTGCCAGAGGCGGCACTCGGAGCCCTCTCTGTGGGCACACGTGCCGTTGCCACAGCCTTGCCTCCTCCCGTGACCCCCTCCTCTCCAGCAGCCCCCCTGAAGGAGAGTCGACCCCGAGCGTGGCCCACATGGAGCAGCGCAGCCAAGGACATGGCAGCCAGGCAGCGTAGACAAGACTCTGCCCACACCCCATCATGCAGTTGATGCTACAGGGCGCGGGCAGAGGGTGTGGCCACCATAGCGCTGCTGGGCTGCCTGGGAGATCCGCGGCAGGCCCTGGAGGCGGTGAGTGGTCCTGTGGGCAGGCGGGGCAGGGGATGGGGGGGCAGAGCGGGGGCGAACAGGGGGGTGGAGCCAGTTTTTGGGCACTCCGTCTTTAAAAAGTTCACCATCACTGTCCTATGGCTAACATCGGCTCATCTGCACTACAGGCGGTCCTCGACTTAAAACAGTTCGTTTAGTGACCGTTGAAAAGTTACAACAGCACTGACAAAAGTGACATGAAAGCCACGTTTTTCACTTATGACCGTTGCAGCACCCCCACAGTCACGTGATCAAAATTCAGAGGCTTGGCAATTGACTCATATTTATGACAATTGCAGCCTCCAGGGCTCACGTGATCCCCTTTGGCGACTTTCTGACAAGCACAGTTAATGGGGAAGCCGGATTCCCGTTTAACAACAATTTGGCTAATCGAACCACTGCAGTGATTCGCTTAACAGCTGTGGCAGGAAAGGTCATACAATGGGGGCAAATTCACTTGGCAAATGTTTCACTTCGCAACAGAAATTTTGGGCTCAATGGCGGTTGTTAAGTCGAGGACTATCTCTATCACACCTTGCACAATTTAACGAACGAAGTGTCTACTTTGTAAAGCCAAATTTCTACAGTGGCTGGATTGCATATTGCGTTAAGCCCTGGTTTGTTTTCCTATCTGTCACCTAGATTCACAGATCGTGTTAAGCAAAAAAATCACACAAGCCACATTAAAGCTCAGCGCCGTTAGTCAGCGCTTGCTGCATATTCGTTTCCTAAGTCCGTTTAGAATGGAGTCTCAAAATCTGAATATGAAAGTACTGCAAAATCTTGATTTTAATAGACCTAAAGCAGGGGTAGGCAACCTCGGCTCTTTTATGACTCGTGGACTTCAACTCCCAGAATTCTGGGAATTGAAGTCCACGAGTCATAAAAGAGGCGAGGTTACCTACCCCTGACCTAAAGTAACAGACTTCAGAGGGAAATTTCCATCGGAACATCCTTAGGAAACATTGGATAAACCCAGTGCGTCCGAAATCGTCTGGATGAAGCAGTAAAAAGTTTCGTTAATTTTGTGACATCTATGGTGGTTTACATAATTTCCATAACGACCATTAAACGAAGGATGAAAACTGCCATCAGGATATTATTTAAATATCGATAGCTGAGAATAACAGGTTCCCTCCCCCCCCCCAAGTGCTCCACTGAAGAGAGGACTTCTACAGCATCAGACCAGTCATAAGAGCTATGGTGGCACAATGGTCAGAATGCAGTACTGCAGGCTGACTCTGCCCACGGTCAGGAGTTCGATCCTGACTGGCTCAAGGTTGACTCAGCCTTCCATCCTTCCGAGGTCGGTAAAATGAGGACCCAGAGTGTTGGGGGTAACATGCTGATTCTGTAAACCGTTGAGAAAGCGCTGTAAAGCACTGTGAAGCGGTATATAAGTTTAAATCAGTGGTTCTCAACCTGTGGGTCGGGACCCCATTTGGGGTCGATCGACCATTTCATGGGGGTTGCCAAGCAAGGCTGTCCGCCATTTTTTTTGTCCGCCATTTTTTCCCCCTTTTCCGGTGGGTGCCTTACCTCCCTTGGGCTGGGCCAGCTGGTGGTCGGCCTGCTCCGTCTCTGCCGCTTGCCAGCTACGCCTCGGCCGGCGCAGGGGGCAGAACCACGCATGCGCGGCGCTTCTGGGCAGGGAAAGTCCTCGACTTACGACCGGTTTAGTCCTCGACTTACGACCGGTTTAGTCCTCAACTTACGACCGGTTTAGTCCTCGACTTACGACCGGTTGGGGTCGCGGCATTAAAAAGGTTGAGAACCACTGGTTTAAATGCTGTTGCTATCATCTGGTTTAGTATTACTGGACTGGCAAATGTGCTTCTAAGGGCAGCTCTTCCCGAGCCTGACTTTGCACAATCTTTTCATTCATTGGGGGTAGCCTGAGAATTTGGGCCTAATTCAGGCACAAAGAATCAGGACCATCCATTAGATTGCAACATAGAAAGATTTATACTCAAGAATCTAGTCAACTAGCGAGCCAGTTTGGCCTAGAGGTTAAGGCTAGAAAGCTGAAGACTATGTTAAAGTTCTTGTCCCACCTGAGCCATGAAGGCTGGGTGGGCGACCTTGTGCCAGTCACTCGCTCTCAGCCCGGCTCACCTGACAAGGTGATTGTTGTGGGGAAAATAGGAGGAGAAAAGTATGTTGGGTATGTTCGCTGTCTTATTTGTAAAAATAATAACAGCAGGATATAAATAATAAATAAGTAAAGGGTCAACGCGGAATTGGCGCTAGAGAAGGGTCAAAGGAATTCAAGGGAGGGCTGGACTTCGGTCACTGGTGGCAACGTAAGGATTCTAAGCTGATGACATGTTTAACTCCACCCTCAGTTCTGTCTACTTGCCGCCTACAGAGGTCACACGTGACTCTGAAATCCCTTTTCTGTGGCTCCATGAAACTTCTTCCCCAACCGTAATCGCTGAAAAATAGCTGCATACTTTCCTGCTAATCTGACATCAAACATCCAAAAGTATACTGTTAAGGTCCAAAAAAAAGACTCAAAATAATTTCTAAAACCACAGAACTGGAAGGAGTCATCACAGAAACCTGAAGTAAAGCGACTGTTCCAGGTAGATGTCCAACATCAGCCTGAATACCTCCATTCTCAAGGAGGTCCCTTAATAATATTCCACTGTAAAACTATTCTCTCGGTATTTTTCGCCTAACATCCAGCTAGAATCAAGAGGTTTTAAAAAAGCAAAGACATTCAATAAATACTTCGCCAAGCCCACAAACCTGACTCAGCAGTATCATACCCACAACAGTCTTAAATAAGCTGTAAGTGCAGACCTCCTGTGGCCCATCCCAGCCACCAAAAAGCTGATTCCTGGACTAAAAGTGCGTGAAAAGAGTGGTCTGTCCGCAGAGTTATAATCCAGAGTCATTGCCTTTAAATAGTGACAAAACTTCACCAAGCGTAGCTTATACAGACAGCTTTTTTAGCAGTAATCAAAATCTAAGGCCCTAGCTCTAACATGGAAAGCATGGGAAAGGCCAAAGAGATTGGATAATGAATACTCCTCCACCTTCTGCTATTCCATCAGCATAATGTCTTGGTTTTGAATTTTCTATCTTTTTTTTTCTTGCAGGAAACAAACAAGAACAGAGGGGGGGAAAAGAACTTTTTCCTCGTGTCGACTACCGTGTTCACTTATTAAAGTGTTATCTGATTGATTCCTCAGTCTTAGTGGAGTCTGTGGAATGTGAATTATGTAATACAAACTGGAATGCAGATGGATTAAATTAACGAGGAATTAAGAGATGCAACTTAACATAGAAACTAATTGGAACTTTGCTTACCTGCCCTTTGGCATCCTCCGGCATGGATTTGATATGTATTCTTTTGAGACACCGAATCACTCCGTCATAGAATTGTACAGTGAAGGTTCCTGGAACACCATCACCAGAAAGAGGAAGTTATTCACTGATTTATTTAAATGATGATTTCGTCCTACAAATGGCATACACACCTGGACATCAGCTCAGGTGTTTCATGTCATCCTTAACCTGCCAATTTCTTCCAACTTCATTCAACGTTTTCAGAGATATAGGGAATATCTATTGAGAGCTAGTTTGGACTAGTGCGGGGGTAGGCAACCTTGGCTCTTTTATGACTCATGGACTTCAACTCCCAGAATTCCTGAGCCAGCCATGCTGAGGGGAAAGGGAGAGGTTTCCAAGCTGAGCCATGCTGGCTCAGGAATTCTGGGAGTAATAAAAGGAATAAAAGTTGACTGGGTGACTTTTAATCTTAGTCTCACTTTGGGTAGGAAAGGCTGGCTGGCTGACTTTGGGCCAGTTACTCTCTCTCAGTCCAACTCACCTCACAGGGTTGTGGGGAAAATGGGAGGAAGAAGAAGTATTAGGCATGTTTGCCGCCTTGAATTATTCATAAAAAATAATAAAGGAAGGATTTTTAAAAAAAATCTAAATCTAAATAAATATCCATTTTTAAACAATGCATTTTTTTCAAATTAATATTGCAGAGTTTAACAGAATTCATTTTTAAGGGAATAAATGATCGAAAACTCAATCAGCACATGATTGTTTCAGGTTACCTAAATGCTTCAGCAAGGCACTTACGTTCAAGATTTTAACCCTTTATTTATTTGATTTACCCTCTATCTTCGCTTTACGGACCGCTCATGATATTTAACATGTCGAATATAGTAAAAACCGAACATATAAATATAAATGGAAGGTGATACTAATAAGCTACAATGATAAACCTATCGTTAAAAATGCATATTCAAGACCGTGAACCAAAACTCTTTATTTGGCAGCATACTGGGCGTTTCATAAAACTCCTTATCAGATGAAGACACTCATGCTGGGAGGGGCTCAGATCATAAGCCATTTAAGGCTTTGCAAATTAACACCAACACCTTAAATGGTGCTTGGTAAACAGCTGGTAACCCATGAAGTTCTTAAACTATAGAATAATTTTATACAAATCGCAATTTCAAGGCATTTTGAGGATAACCTAATAGCAGACTGCAGACTGCAATAGTCAAATATTGCCTTTATTTTTTTTTTAAAAAAATAAGTTATTTCATATGAATTTTTCTTGTGTTCCATACTGCAAAGAAGTTGACCTAAGTAACTGTTCTTTGATTAATTGAGTTTATACACATAAAGTTTGAACTGAGGACTTCTGGCATCAGCGTCTCATCCTGACTTAAATTATGCTGTCCCTTAGGCTTTGAAAGCAGAAACTTGCCTATATTTTTTGAGAGTTAAATTCAGCATCTGACTTTAAATATTTCTAGGATGTAGCTCTAAAACCACTTTAAAAGCTGCACAATGGTGTTCCACATATTGTAGTTTAGTTCATATAAGAACATGCTTGAAATTGATTTAACAACTGGATTTGGGTCTTACATACAATACGTATTTCACTGCTATAACTATTTGGGTGGGAAGAACAGCTGGTTTCCTAAAAATATTAAGCTAGAAATGTTTTCCATTCTCCAACACACTGAAATACAGGCATAAATACCTGCCCCTTCACTTCCAAAATAGAAGGACTTCAACTGTGTGCCACATTCAAACATAGGATCATAGGGCTGGAAAGGATCCTGGATGATCTTCTATTTCTCCCCAAGGCAGAAGTCTTTATATCATCCCAGACAAATGGATGTCCAACCTTTTCTTGAAAACCTCAAGCAATGGAGCACCCATAACTCTGGGAGGCAAGCTGTTTCACTGATTAATCATTCTTGCTGAGGAGAAATTCCTCCTCATCTCCAAGTTGGATCAGGCTCTGACGAGCTTCCACCCATTTCTTCTTCTCCTGCCCTCGGGTGCTTTGAAGAACAAATTCAGACTCTCTTTCCTGGGACAGCCCTTCAAGCCTTGGAAGACAGCTATCACGTCACCCCTAAGCACCAAATTTTGGTTTCGTGTACTTAAATTCTGTACTGAGTACAAAATAAGCTCCTGATACTGACATTTTATTTATTTAGATTTATATTCCAGCTTTTGCAGTGGTCTTTTTTCCAACGTGTTCCCGTGGTCAGGCCCCAATATCTTAGTAATTTCAAGAGTGCTGCATCTCTCTGAAAGACTTTTTTTTACAATTTTTGACTTTTCAGAGTCAGTTCAATCTCTTTTTTTGGTCCGTTTTCCCTGAGGAAAAGAAGCTGCCTAATAATTAGGCACACTTTGATACAGGGTGTTGATCTCCTTAGGCCACACCCTCCCTCATTACACAAATACACATGACCTGATGTGCTTATATCCACTAAGCATTCAGGTTTATGCAGCTTGGAAGTGGAAATATGCATGAAATGATATGGCCAAAATATTCACTTGCCTAATAATTGTGCACACAGTGAGAAGCATAGAGAAAAGCTGCTGCCTTTGCATTCAGCTCATCAGCTTCTCTACCTTAAGTGCTGTTAGAAAAAGCCACTAGACCAGGGGTCGGCAACCTTAAACACTCAAAGAGCCACTTGGACCCGTTTCCCAGAGAAAACACTGGGAGCCACAAAAGTTGCCCGCGCGCACACACGGACACAGGAGGGGGGGAACTTGATTGAAGAGTTTAATTAAAAAGAAATAGAGGCTGCTGTATATGAGTTCGTTCTCTTTCTCTCTCTCTCTCTCTCTCTCTCCCTCTCTTTATCTCCCTCCCTCTCTCTCTCCCCCCTCTCTCTCCAATCTTCTGCTCACCTGGCAAGCTGGCTTCACGGTGTCCTCCAGCAAGCTGACACACATTCTTATTGGGCTGGCTCTCTCCTGCCCTTGGTCTGCCAGTCCTCTTCCCCCACTCAGTGTGTGTGTGTGTGTGTGTGAGAGAGAGAGAGAGAAAGAGAGAGAGAGAGACAGACAGAGACAGCTGCTGCTTCCTGCTTCCTGCTGAGACGCAGCAAAGGGAGGAGCCCCGCCCAATAAGTTTGTCAGCTTGTCGGAGGACAGCGTGAGGCCACTCTTTTTTACACACACACACACACACACACACACACACACACACACACGGGAGGGGAAGAGAGGGGGGAGCGCAAGTGCCTCTCTCTGTCTCTGTCTCTCTCTCTCTGCAAATGGCGGAGGAGGCTGGGAGCCACAGGAGAAGGCTCAAAGAGCCACATGCAGCTCCGGAGCCGCGGGTTGCCGAACCGTGCACTAGACTGAATGGATTCCTGGTGTTCCAGCAGGAAAGGGCTCCTCTCCCTGACTTGATACAAACCTTCTTTGTTAATTGCTTCAATTTTTGCGGGATAATATCGGCAATCTGTCCAACGAGCCAGAACCTCTTCTCCTGGTTTAAAATCCTGTTTTAAAAGAACGAAGTGAGGGAATATAACTTAAAACCTAGCTTTGGAAAAAATAAAATTAAATTCCAGTCTCCAAAGATTACTGGTAGTCCTGAACTTACAACCATTTGTTTAGCAACTGTTTGACGTTACAATAGCATGGGGGGCGGGGGGGGGGAGAAGGGACTTACAACTGATCCTTGCACTTACACCCATCGCAGCATCCACTGGTCACATGGTCAAAATTCAGGCGCTTGGCAACCGGCATGTATTTAGAAGGGTTGCAGCATCCCACGGTCATGGGCTCGCCATTTGTGACCTTCCCAGCCAAATTGCAACAAAGTCAATGAGGGAAGCTGGATTCATTAAGCAACTATGTCAGGGGTCTTCAAACCTGGCGACTTTTTAAGACTTGTGGACTTCAACTCCCAGAATTCCTCAGCCAGCCCTCTGAACTATTAGCTGCAGTGCTTTGCTTAACAACTGTGACCAAAAAAGATTGTAAAATCGCACGCACTTGACTTAAACACCTCCTTACTTAGCAACAGAAATTCAGATCCCAACAGTGTATGGCAGGGGTCTTCAAACTTGGTGCTTTTATGACTTGTGGACTTCAACTCCCAGAATTCCTCAGCCAGGCACGCGTGCCTGGCTGAGGAATTCTGGGAGTTGAAGTCCACAAGTCATAAAAGCGCCAAGTTTGAAGACCCCTGGTGTATGGAATGAAGTTTCATTTGTCTGTACTCTGGGCTACAATCGGGGCTTGCGATCCTGGCCCGTGACTTCCACTTCAAGCCACTCATAAGGACTGGAGAAATGCTTACGATAAATTCATCGTCTTTTAGGGCCTCCTTCCTCATCGAAGGCCGCTCGAGCGGGCGCAACCGGTTGCTATCCCAGTAAATCCATTCATCGTAACGGTGACTCCAGCGCTCAAAATGGACAAGCATCTTCCCTTCCTCATAGTCTATCTTCTCAATGCGCGAAGGGTACCTTTGGAAGACAAACAGAAAGAAGAGACTTCAACGGCTTTCTCTCCGCAGGCACCCAGAGCGTTTACGCGAATGACGCATCCTGAAGTACGATAAATTAAAATGCGAGGAGGATCGAGCGATAACGTTTCTAATGGCGCAAGAGATAGGCTGAATTGCTGCGCTTTCATAGGACGAGATCATACAGGTAGTCCTCAATTTACGACCACAATTGGGACCGTAATTCCTGTTGCTAAGCAAGGAGGCTGTTCAGTGAGGCATGCCCGGTTTTATGATCTTGTCGCCATGGCTACTAAGTGACTCACTGCATTTGTTAAGAGAATCATATGGTTGTTAAGAGAATCCAGCTTTACCGTTGATGTTGGTTGTTGGAAGGCAGCTGGGAAGGTTGCAAATGGCAATTATATGACCCTGGGATGCTGCCACCCTTAGAAACACACACATGCAACTTGCCAA